GTAGTGCCTCTATTCAGGCTCTTGTAATTCAGTGAACCTGTATGAGTTCCCATTTGAGGTTAGTTTCCCGTACTGAACACATTCTCACTCTACTTTTTTTCATGAGTGGTGAAGGCGTATCAGCACTGCTGCAGGGGCAGGAACCCTGTAGGGAGCAGGGGCATGAGCAAGTGGATGCATCAAAGTCCTGGTCTTGTGCAAATGACTTGACTTCTCTCTGAGCTGGGATTCCAGCAGGTTACATGACTGCCAGCTGCACGGAACTTTCAACTTCTTTTATTTTATTACTGTTGTGTGCCTGAACACTACCTTGAAAGCTTTCTGCCAGCTAATGGAGCACTGCCACCTGCTTGGGCTCGGAGAGGGAGAGTGGCATTACTAGAACAACAGTATTGAAGTTTGATACAGCTAATGTGGAGTTTGCTAACAGTTTTTATGGGCATTGATTGAAATAATACTGGTCTCCAAGGGAAAAGCAGAGTACTGCTTGTATTTAGCAGCCACAGACAAAAACCAAATCGGAGCCCACAGAAATAAAGCAGGTCTTCACCTTTGGTGCTGCCTGGAGCTGAGCCCTTCTGCTACCAAACAGGTAAGTTGTGGCCTGAAAACCCCTGTGATTTGCTGTAAAAGCTGCAGTTCTCCAAGTCAGTTTGTTATGGCAAAGCCACTTTCTGTCCTTGCCACTACTTGGCAAGGGGGATACTCACCAAAATCATTGGCACAGAAGTTTTCCAGGATCTCCCTGGCAGTGCTGGCCTCCTCCAGCTCGCAGTCCTTGCAGCTGGCTCGGGGCACTGCTGCAACAGAAATTTGGTTGTAACACCCTTCATGGGAAAAGGCATCATGCAGTTCTGAGATCTGCACGTGCTGGCTTGCTCTTTCTGAGTGGTGCTTCCTCCCGAGTTGCCCAGTCTCTGGAGGGACAGGTTAGGCTGCCAGCGTGGGAAATGTGAAGTTCTCCATTCTGTGGCTGGGGCAAATGCTGCCTGTTGGGCTTTGTTTAGGCTTGTGTGTGTTGCTGCATGTGAAAGCAGCAGTCAAAAAGCTTAATGAAGGTCTCCTAGTTTGGATGAAAGTGTAAAGCCATTTGTATGGCCAGACTCCATCCAATGATGCTGAAATGTGGCGTCTGTTCTCCCGTTAACTGCTCTTGAATCCCCCCCAGTGTTCATCAGCATCTGGGTGTTTCATTTAGTCTTTCAATCGTGAAGATTTTTTTCTTTTGTAACTCATGCCTGCAGAGGCTTATGCCCCTTTGTGGTGTTTCCTAATCTTTAAAGGAAGGCTTGCAAAACATTTCTTTTTGCATGTTTGTTTAAACCCTGGACACAGCTGGAAGATCAGGGCTGCAGCTCCTTAGCTCTGCTGGAAGCAGATCTCTCTGCCTGGAGCCTGCACACAAGCTGTGCCTGAGCTTCAGGCTTTGACAGCGACTCCTTCCCCCTGCCCCAAACCCCGTGTGGTCTGATGGCACCCGGGGAGCTCATGAATGCAGTAGAGAGGGGAACAAGCTGCAGTCAACTTCACGCTGATTTTCTAGACATGGTGGAGTGCCCAGAGAGAACAAAACTAAGATTTCTAAATTACTTTTTTGTTGTTTTTGGTTTTTTTTAAATATAGCTTACAAGCAGAAGCCCTAGGACCACAAAGAAGGCAAAGGCCTTTTCTCAACTTTCAGTGTTACATACAGGAAAACATATGTGGAAAAAAAAAACAAGCCCTTACTTCTCCTGCTTGAGGAATTTTCATCCGTGGAAACTGCTGCGATGCACAGTTCATGATCTTCAGGGAACTTGTTGCAGTTGAGGATCTCGGGCCAGGGGTACCCATAACAGGCCATGACGGGCGCGCAGCTTCTCTTGACGGCTTCACACAGGCTGCGGCAGGGGTAGATGAGCCTGGGGAGGGGATGGGGGCTGCAGCACCTCTGTGTCTGGGAGCAGGCTGAGGGTCAAGCCCTGGCACCCTGCTGCTGCCCCACGGGGCTGTGTTGCACACCACAGTGCTGGCAGAGCTGTTTTGGGGTCTCTGATGTCTTTTGAACATTTGTGCCCAGGAAGCAAACCAAAACTTTCTGAGGATGGGAGAGATGAGGCTGCTGCCAGGAGCCCTTCTCCCATCCAGAGATCTTCTCTAGTTGTGCAAAGACTGCTTACATTTGCAGGTGCCTAACTGGATACCTGATTTATTTAGCAGCTACTGAGGGTTCCTCTCTGATGCTGGCACTGTGGGGCTGAGGAAGCCCCTGAATGGCTGGGACAGGAGCTGGGATGCTGGGAAGGGGGATGCAGGGAGGTGGGAGGCAAAGCCAGTGAACACCAGCAGCTATGGGGAGATGGCAGCAGAGCTGGGGTGGGAGAGCAGGAAAACCTAGAGGAGGGAACTTAACATCTATGCTCCTGTAAGATGAAATGCTCATGTTTCACTTTCAGAGGGAAGGTCCCCACTGGGTAATCCAATTACCCCTGGCTGAGAGGAGCAGCACAGCTTCTGGGGGGCTGCACTGATCACGCTGCACGTGCCTTCTCTTGGGAGGCAAATGCAGTTGCACATCTGGGGAGTGTTACTTGCTACAGCTGAAATAACTTGTAAAAACCTCTTACCTGTCCAAGCAGATTGGTGCAAAGAGGGAGCAGAGGAAAATCCTAGCGTCTGGGTGGCACTCCCTGGCCAGCAAAGGCAGCCAGCTGGATGACTGCTGAATCACTTCTGGCATGGTCTCGTGCTCCAGCAGGTTGGGAATCCTCATCTCGGAGTAGCCAATGTCGTAGCACAAGGCCATGCGGTGTGGGATGGGTGTGCAGCTGGAGGATCTCCTCAGGTAGCTCGCCCAGGCTCCAGGAGAGCCCCAGAGCAGCAGGCGTGCCAGGAGCCCCAGCAGCCATGGCCCCCCCGAGCCGGAGGGGTGCCTGCGCTGGGCTCTCGCCATGCTGGGAGCCGCGGGACCAGCTGGGAGCGGCGGGGGG